GGACAGAGGTGTGACCTCGCCTCGGGGGGGAGCAGCTCCCTGCGGGGGTGCAGGAACAATGTCTGAGCTCCGAGCCAGTCCAGGGAGGAGGCGGCGTGGACCGGAACTCCTCCCGTCTCCCGGCTCGCTTCCACAGCACGGGAGGGTCCCGGGACAGGACGGCGGCGCCTTTGATCCCGGGATGGCAGCGGATTAAAATAAAACCCGGGCTTCGCCAAAGAGGTGGGTCGAAGCGGTAAATTAAGGAACAACGGTGGCGCTTCACTGTTGAGGACGTGGGCTGACCTTGCCGGCTCCCTGGAGGACTTTGGATACTCGAATCCCTTCATCGGCTCCTCTGTTCAAGGCTAAAGTGACTCAGATCCATTATTTCTTTATGGCTTCAGGAAAAGACAGAATTAAATTGTACGTGTGTTTCAAGTCCAGTTCTCCCGCCTGCTGCTGTTCCGTTTACTAATTGTTTGAATTAAACGGTGGGGGATTTTTGTCTTTACTGCATTTTGAAAGGAAACATTGTCGCTTTTCTTTGCCTTTGTACGGACACTCTCATGAATACGTCTGCACGTGTTTACTCCTCAACAGCCCGATGAATAATTTATTCATGTGCCATTTCAGACCGTTTTGAAATTCGTTACCTGAAATGCTGGAAAGGCGGGTTGATATCTTTGGAAGGCGCTCAAGGGCGCGCTGCCTGAAGCTGTCGCAGAGCGCCCTCTGGCGTCCGCACCGCGCCGCAACAGCAGCCGACCGGTCCCGGAGCGAGGAGCTGTGCGCGCAGGTCGGCGCGTCATAAAAACACCCCCATTGTACGCAACCAAAATCATTTAATATAAAACCACCACGAAGACATAAAGTGCAACAACTTAAACCTCACAATTCCCGAAAACACAATAGCTAAAATAACGTCAGATACAAACGGTACGCCATTTAAAAAGTTATGACATGCGTGCTTACGTTTTCGCGAACTTGCAACAAATTAAGTTCAATATGATGAAACAGACACAAGAAAAAAGGAATTCAGCTTTGCTTTTCTGTGCTGTTGGCGCTGTCCAGCCAGCTGGATTGAGAGAAATGACTCCGCAATGCACTTTGTTATAGTTAACGGTTACTCCCTGTTTACAGTCTACTGTCTACACTCACACAAGGCCAGTTTCCAAGACCGGGATCAGGCCCGGCCCGAGACTGACAGACGCGATTTAAGATGGTTCCCCCAAGATGAGCGCTAATCAGCAACAGCTCTGTCACCCTGCAGCTCCCAGCTGGCCGCCCACTGGAGCCCA